CATAACTCGAACCCTTTTCCTCCGAACTTTTCAACCTCGACCCGTGATTGGCCAGTCGACATCCTCTCCAGATCAATTTCGCAGTTTTATCTATGCCAAGAAAAAACCCTAAATCGCGAAACCCCAATCTGTCACAGGAACCCTGGTCGCAGAACCAAAGCTCTTGATACCAATTGTTGGAAATCGACAATCACACAGAATCGAGAAAACAGAAAAAGAGATAAGAGTAGAGAGATTGACACGATGATTTACCCTGGTTCACCCAATATAGGCTACGTCCAGCTTGTCTGTACTATATTCACCTCACCGCCACTCGTTACAAGTCTCTCGGTTTACAAGGCAAATATAAATAGGATTACAAGAAACCCTAACAGCAGCTATTCATGGGCCCAAGCCCAAACTGCTATGAAAATTACAATAGAAACAGAGGCCTAAACATTACCTAGCCTCTACGGGCCCCAGTTGCCTTTCTGCTGACCCCGACAATTAGGGCCAACATCATCATGTGAAGTATGAGCCATACCCAACACAAACGTCACAATGGGCTGTTGACAATATAATTCAAGCAACTCCATGCAAGTGATTATATAGATCTACTTCCTGTGAGTCGGTTATGACTATAAGGGAATTAAAATAAAATCAACATCAGCGATTTGCAAGAGGTGCTTCTTAGCGATTTGCAATCAGGTTGATCCCTCGCTTATAGGATTGATAAAATCAATCGAATTAAATTAAAATAGAAGAAAATATCTTCTTATCTTAATCATATTTTGCTAAGGTGAATCCCTTTCTTAAATAAAATAAAATAAAATAAAAGGGAATCCTTTTTTTTCTCTTTTTATGCAAATTAAGACTAGAAAAAGGGAGGAGACTTAGGCTATGTTTGATTTGTGTTTTGAAAAATAGTTTTTTAGTTTTCAGAACAAAAAATTTTTAAAACTCGTTTGGTAAGACTTGTTTTGTAATATATATTTTGAAAACTATAACTGTTTTTTTGTTTCTAAAACTAAATTTAGAGAACATGTCTGAGTTGTTTTTGTTTTCTGTTTTCTTTTTTAACTTTCAAAAAAAAAAGTATAGAAAACAACTATTTCCATATCTATTTTACAAGACAGTTTTAAGAACAAAAAATTCAGAACACAATCAAACAAGCCCTTAGCTTTTGCTTTTTTCCTTATTTGATCCCTTTTTGGTAATCCTGATCTCGGCCACCGGTCTGAGTCTCGGTTTCGGACGCCAATGTTACGATCTGATAGATCGATCTGTCCAATTAGAGATTGGTATTTTAATATAGGATCTGTTTGCCCTCTCTCAGGTACCTATAGGAAAGGTACCCTAAAGATAAGCGAATCACTGTGCATATAATATAATGACCAAGACGTGGGGTGTGTGCACAGTGATAAGCTAAGAGAGAGAGTTTTGAACGTGTATATCTTATTGTTTAACCACTTATTTATATATGAGTTACCTAACAGGAGTGAACTTTTGGGCCTCTTAAGAGTATTGGGGGTCTAATTGTTGATCCATTGCTGCCATAGTAAGATTAATATAATTAATAAATATTTCCTTAATTTCCTCTTAGTTGTCTGGATAGGATCGTTATTGATAGAAAATTCTCTTTCGGTTTGTGCTATTCTTTATTGGACTTTCTAGAATATAGGTCTTTGCCAGGTCCATGACACATATTATCATATTTAATCTAATTATTATTATTATTATAGGTATTTTATAATCACGTATGCATGATTTAAAATTATCATACGACGCATAGAAAGATATTACCTCAAAACAAATTTAACACGTGACCTTTTCTATCAACACGATTTGACCTAGTTTCCCAAGTTTTTCAGAATAAGACAAGTTAGGACTGCAACTCATCGTCTAATAGCAGAGTCTCCGATAGGAGAAAAACTTCGATGCTCGATTCGGTGGTCCCGGTTCTTAAAACGCGATTTTTTTCTTTTTTTTTAACCATTTTTTTTAAATTAAAAAAAAAAATTAGTAAAAGGGATCGCGGGTGATCCGGTGAAAATAGCAACTACGATAAAGTTTCGCATGTTGTCGACTAGAATAAAAAAGAAATAAAAGTTGCCCTTTGCTCGTGAAATGCAACTAATTGATTGCTCCGCCTCCACACATTTGCTTCTCGGCCTTAACACTTGCGTAGAACTTGAGGTGCAACATGAAAGCGACTTGCTACCACATCATTGAAAATGTCACCTACTTTTAAGGGTGAAACAATTAAAAAGAGAGAGAGAGTCAAAAGTCTATTGCCTTAAGGGGAAGTCTTCCAATGAGAGAAAACTTTCAGGTTTAAGATTGTGATGCATAGAAGAGTAAATGTGTTAGGTTAGAGTGTTTATAATTTAAATAGGTCTAATTTGCATAAGATAATATAAGTTAAATTATAAGTTAAATTATAGATATAATCGCATATATTTTTTAAAATTAAAACGTTTGAACTAGTCTGTTAATCTTATATAGAATATTATAATCAGTATTTTAAAATTTCATCCCAGTATTTTAAAATTTCATCTTAGGATTGATCTTGCTGGCTCACTGACCCCCTCTATCTGAGGGTTGGGGTCAGTAATTAGATTCTATACTTTAATAGTTTAATAGTTTGATGCTTTGATTAGTTTGTGTATTATTAATTTGTTGATGTATTTGATTGAATTATATTAAGTATATTTTGAATCTTTAATGATTGGTGATTTGATTTTTTTAAATTTTTCATATAAGATATATATTCCCATATTTTTAATGTATAAAACTCTGGGTTAACGAAGTTATTGGATCGCAAAATAACTCCATAACCTCCGGTTGAACCCGGACCTCTAACCTTGAGTGAGTCGATGACCAGTCTGAGTTTTTAAACATTGATTATAATTTCAATTATAATAAATTAAATATGAATTGCTTTGTAAATTAAAATACCAGGATAAATCAGAACAATTCTTATAATTATCAATTAATTTCTTCAAGGGAAGTTACATATTGACAAATCTGTCTCTATAAAGTTTAGTATTCAAACTAAAACATTACATATCATCATAAATAAAATAAATACAATTATATAATACTAAAAATTTATTCTAAAATATCAGATATTATATCACTAAATAAACACATGAATCAACTACTGAGAAATAGTTTCAGTTTGATCGGTAATTCTAAATTCTGAGTGTTGGATACGTAGACAAACTTGTGGACCTGATAGGCCATCATATATTTACACGCCTAATAATTGAGTGACAGGACAGAATAACACCTGCTCTTGCAAGTTTAGATTCCTTTTTTTATATACCAATGCATATCACAAATACTTGATTACTTGGTGAAACAAAAATTTAAAGTTACTGTAACAACAGTAACTGACCGGATAAAATATTTAATTATTAGTCTAATAATTAATCATGTAATTAATTATCAACCCATGTAATGGATTACCTGTTCTAAATTTAAATTTGAAGTTACTAAACAATTAATGAATGTCAGGCAGGATAATCAACTATTTGAAATTCAAGACTTCATAATTTTACTAGATTCCACAATATTGTCAAATCATTTTCTTATAAATAAAAATAGATGTTTATTCTTTTCAAATTATAGGAAAATTTTAGTACTTTTAAAAAATAAACATATTTGATTCAATAAAAAGTAGATGTTAAAATAAAACTAGTGATTGGTCAGCCTAAATAAATCAATAAAGTGTGTAAATTGGACCAACATTTGAAGCAAAAAATAATTTTGTCCGACTAACCTAACTAAATTGGCCTAACCCAACACAGGTCGGTTAATAATAACATAATTAATTATTATAATTATTAAGTTTCTCTCTCTCTCTCTCTGGTAAGCAAGTTTCTCTTTTTTAAGTCTAATTAAATGTTACTTTAAAATAGGCATTTATTTATACTAAGTCATTAGTTTATTTTTTGAAACAAAATAGTTTAAAATAGGCATTTACTTTAATTTATTTAAAATAAATAAAATAAATAAATTATTTAAATATAATTTTTTTAAATTCTAACTATATAAATAAATACAATATAATATAAACTAACAAACCGACATGAATAAATCGCAATCCAAAAATGGGCCGACCCAATCAAAATTAATACACCTTTATAAAAAGCTTCACTTCAACTTTAAACATATACATTATTTTTTATCACTTAAGATTTAGGTTTGAAAATTTAAATGTAGAGGAGACTAACTAATCTTTGCATGAGATAAATCCCTCCTATCCCGTATGCAAGCCCCAACCAAATTATTATTAATAAGCTAAACTTACATTAACCATTTCTTTCTCGCAAACTGGATTACCAATTTTTGTTTGTAGTTTCATTTCCTCGATTTCATAAGTTTTACGAGGTAATTCAAAACATACGAAAGTAACCAAACTACTAAAGAATCTTAATTCATTATCATAATGTTTGGGATGATTACAATTGGGTATTGATTAATTGGTTTGAATTGATTTAATTTAAACATTTTATGTTTAGAACTCGCTGAAAAATTTAAATTTGATTTAGTTAACACCAATTTTTGTTAACACAATAAAGTTAAATGAAGTTACTTTTGTGTTAATAATTTACTTTATTAGTGTTAAAATGAGATAAATAACTTAATAATTAAACGAATATAAAAACTAACCATATGCCCTCAAGTGTAATTAAATTTGAATAAGTTTCTAATGCACACAACTGAATCAAGCTAATATCGACATAAGCCAAGCTATTTGTGCCAAGTGCAGATCGCGTGCAAATAAAAGGTGCCCTTATCCTTTTATTTATCAGAGGCTCAATTCGGGCTTTTCATTCCGGGATGGATAAATAAGGTTCTAAAATCAAATTGATTCCTATTTCTTAACATTTTCCATAAAAAATAAATCATTTATAAATCAAATAATTAAGAACAATGGTACACAAAAAAAATAGCCAGAATTTTGATACAATTCAAGAGATTCTTAGATGAAATTATATTATATCGAACGCCACTCATCCAAAAAACAACAAATATGCCTGTCAATTTTATCAAAAAATTTGACAAAATTATGGCTATAAACATTTTCATCAAATAATTCCTAAAATATTTGATTCGAAACATACCAATGGATATATCAAGCAGCAACTTGAACCTATGCAGTCTGTAACAACAACTGTATAACACAGAATGTCACTGCAGAGCGTAACTATAAAGTTATGTAGCTCACGAGCTGCAATTGGGCCGTGAAACTAACCTGATGGATGCCATGCCACACCTTCCAGTTTCAAAAATTGGAACTTCATTCAAGGATAAATTCCTTTGGAAACATTAGGATGCTAGAAGGTGAGTGCCATCAGCTATGCTATATCAAAATATTGGTTGATTCTTCAAAGGTTGCTACATATGAATGATTCTCAGCAGGTACCATACAGAAATAATACAATCAGGTTGGACAACGCTCAGCAGGTACATTCAAAGGTGCAAAAATCCAACTCATGAATAGTTAAAGTCATTTCTCGGCAGCAGAAGAGCATAAATATCGCAACATGTATTCATTGGAGGAGCATGTATCAGCTAGATCCTGATGTATTGTAGTAATTGCTTTCTGCAAAGATTTTAATGATGGGAGCAGATTTCTAGAGTTCTGCTGAATAGAATTTCCATGAGCTTTGCAGAGCTCCTGCCATATCAAAGATCAAAATTTTATAGAACTACTCAAATATATATATATATATATATATATATATATATATATATATATATATATATAACCACATTTAAGCAAGTAAAGAACACCTGACACCATATTAGCATGAATTCCAAATGTGGGCAGTTTTCTAGAAGATCTGCAAGTGCCTCAATTAATCGCTGGATATATCTGTAAGGAATTGATGTGGCAACTGCTGGAATATCTGCTGGACTAACAGCAAAAATACATTTTTTGATGAAAGAGTCCTCATTCAAGCGAAGGCTAAGGATCAAAGCTCTACTTGTCTGATTTTCACTAAGAGCTCCATCAACAGCCTGTCCAGCAATGCCAGCCCAAGTTACTAATGACATCAAAAGAGGAAATACTGAAATGAAGCAAGAGCATCATATAATGCTAGGTGGAGCAAAATTAAAATCATATATACTATATTTTCAAGCTGCTCAATTTTAATTCTGATTCCTAATCTCCATGATTGAAAAGGGAAAAAGAACAGAATCTAAAGACATATAGCACTATTTGTGTTGTTTTTCTTCCAGAGAATAATTTCTAGGAAATTGTTTTCTTCATTTTCTTTGTCTAATGCAGAAATTTTACCATTTTCCATAATTTGTTGAAAAACAATTTTTTTTTTTTTTGAGTTTTATGTTGGCAGTCATGAATAAAATAATTAACAGCGAGAAAGAACCCACACTATTATTAAAGGAAAAATGCTTCCTCTTATTACAAGCAGAATTCAACTTCCTCCTTAACAATTCAAACACAAGAAATCAATGGAAGACAAAATAGGTGTTTTTTTTTTTTTGGTACAGAAATAGGTGTTTTCTTCTTTTCAAAGCAAGTGTTTCCTAAGCCTACAGAAAATAGATTCTGCAATAATATTATATTCTTTGAAGCAAATGAAGCCCTAGTTCTTTCAAGAAGATGTAATGTGAAACAGTTATTAACTTCAAATATATGAGTACCTCTGGTGTAACATCTATGTCTAGGTCGGTTGGATCGAATATGAACGATTCATCAACAGAATAAACTAAAACTCCCTCAGTTGTTGCTGCTACAAAACTCCGCCCTGTAGGTGCAATCCTCAGGCATTTTGTTTGAATAACAGGCCTTCCACGGTTAGGGATGGAACCTGGTAAATCTAATCCTATTTTCCCTCGTGTTTGTTTTTCAACACCTTCTTCAATGTCACTGTTGTCATCATCAATCAAATCTAGTGGGCCAGCTTCTGTCATATTCTTTGAGTTTAAAAAGTCAAGTACTCCATCTAATGAGAGATTGTGAGTTATCTGGAATCGCCGCAGCAATACCTGTACAAAAGAGAGTCCAATTAAGAATCAGAACTGTACTATTATATGCAAACAATTCAGACATACCAGTCCATTTTAAATATGCATCCACAATGAATATCCCATAATTTACAACAAAGGCGAACAAGGTATAGGCTAAGAACATAAACCTATGACAAAGAAAGTTTATGGGTAAGGACTAAGAAGACAACATCCTTTAAGATGCACATATTCTGCTGTAGACAGATGAACCCAATAATAGCAAAGACAACACATTGCCACAGAATTTTGGCTTATTTACGCTTGCAAAAGCAAATCATTTAAATTGAAATACAAAAATTGCTCTGGAGTTAAAGGACACAGATGGTGCTCATAAAACATACTAAAGGCTGCTCCAAGGAAAGGTGACAAACTTGCACTGGAGATGACAGACACACACATAAGAGTGATACAACTATTATAAAACGGGAATATACTAGGAAAAATAAGAATATAATAGAGGATTGCCTATGGGTATGTTTGTTACGTAGACATATTCTAGAAGTGCCAGCTAGCAATAGGAAAGTTAGCATGGGAGGGAAATTCAGTAAGTGAGGGATATATCATATACGTAACTACGTGTGACAAGGGAAGGATGAGCAGGTATTGGGTGAAACAGTAGTTCAGCAAGGGCTGAGGAAGAGTAGAGTTCTCTTAAATGACTCATCCATCTGTAACTAGTTTCTGGTGGAATAATACAAGAATCATTTGTGTTCTGTTCGGTGTTGAGGTTATTCCTTATCAATTTACCAGGTTTCTATCAAAGAGGAAAGGGAAGTGTCTAGGAAGCACGGATATGGCAATTTTCTAAAACCAAAGGACACGGCATAGCCAAAATATGTTACATAAAAAATAACTATAGAGACACAATTGTAACTAACAGTTATTATTTGGGAGTCAACTAACAATTTTCTTCTCAATTTCCACTACAGAAGCAATTAATTGTGCAACTCAATCAGATCCAAAAAGAACTCAATCAAGAATTATTTTTCATTGCAATTATTAAAATACAAAAGATAGCATAATATTTCCTGATTTTTCATGTTCGTGAATTATCTAACTCCCTCACATCCAAAACATACCCGTTTAACCTATACCATGTATTGAACTCAACTGAAGAGCAAAAACTAATAGAGTATATGGCACATGCTTTAAATCAATAGTGAAGAAGCTTTCTGGAAACAATTAACAGTTTATATGTTGGGAATTATAGATAAGTGAAATTCAACACGATAAGGATAGAAACATGAAGTGCATGCAAGCTAACCTGATCTGCAACATCATACATGCAAATATATCTGCTATTGCCCCCAGCTACTATGTAGCTTCCATCAGCTGAATAACATAAGGTCGTGAAGCACTTCCCTGAACTTGAGTTAGCAGCTGATCTACGGTCAGTCATACGACGCCCTCCAGCAATATCTCTAGAACCTTCTATGGTGTACATAAGCAAACCATCTATTGGATCCCAAAAATGTATTTGCCCATCTAATGTGCTGCAAGCTAACTGCCTTCCATCTGGACGATAAACTAATGTGCAAACATCATGCGTATGAGAAAATGTTTCAACTGCGCCTTTTCCATCAAATACATCCCACAACCGAACAGTTTTGTCCCATGACGATGAAGCCAAGATTGCCTGCACGCAGACAAAAGAAATGATTCTAAATTTCTTGTCATGATATACCAAATGTAAAAACCATAAAGAACAAAAACATAAAAACTTTAGTAGTTCCCTTTATGATCATATCTCTTGAGACAATAGTATTCATATTTGATAATACTATGGGCATAGAAAATAATAAAGTTTTTTACAAAATTGCAAACAATGAAACGTGGCTTCATAGAGATTTCAAGTAAGTACATATTATAGCAACAGAATATTTGACCCAACTAAAATTACTGCATAAGGTAAGAAGATAGTAACTAACGCAGGCAAATATCAGTAGAAGAGAAGCTAACTCACATTTGTAGGAGAAAACATCAGCCCATGAACAGGAGCTTCATGACCACTAAGAACATCCAACAAATGGCCCGTTCTCATTGTCCAAACAAAAATCTGTTACACATATCATTAAGAAAAAGGGTGACAAAAAAAAGATATAATCAGAATCCACCTAATTTGTGTGAAATGATACCTCAAAGGAATCTGAAGTGCCAGCACATATCACTTCACCACTTTGATCCGCTGCCAAAGAAACAAACTGTCTTGAAGAAGGGGTTGTAAACGTCCTGAAATTCCGATAACGTAATAAATCCCATGCACGAACGGTCCCATCAAGAGATGCACTAAGCAGGCAATTGTTATTTGCCACAAAATGCAGAGCTGTAACGGCATTAGTGTGTTCAGAAAAGGTTACAAAGCAAAAGCCAGAGGACACAGTCCAGACCTGTAACAGAGAAGTACAAAACTTTAATTCATTTGTATTCACTTTTTAAATTGATGCAATATGAATACATACACATTATCAAAGATGCAACACATCCAGTCAACGATGGATCAACATTCAATTACCTTGACTTTATTATCATCTGCCCCAGTAGCAAGGAGTTGGGAATCTGGCGAATATGCAACACAATTGACATCAAAGTAGTGACCCTGCTGCTTCAAAATATAGCTCTCGGACCGCCACTCCCAAACTAGCAGCTGGCCTAATTTGGCACAGCCAAAGGTCAACCAGTTCCCAAGCTCATTAAACATAGCAGTAGTAATCTTCTCCCTTGATATAGACAACAAGTGAATGCACACGAAATCAGGCATCTGATACAACCCGAAAACACCATTCGAGAAGCCAACAACCACCATGTCCAGCCCTCTATGATAATCGCATGCCGTCACCCTTGCCGGTGCCTGCATAAAACCATCCTTCCTCAACAATTCCCACTTCCCTCTCAACAAGTACCCTCCATCATCCTCAATATCACATTCCTTTCTCTTCTTAACATTACCATTACCATCACTCTCGAAATTCCCTTCCGCATCTCTATCCGGCGTCCCCGGAGAAGGCGGTTCCGATCCCTCGTCTTCCACCTGCATCCCCGCATTATCATTGTCGCTTGTGAAACCCCAGCTAAACAAATAACAATCCTTAGTAACTGTATAAGCCTTACAAACCCTATTAGTTTTCGAATCCACACCAAAGAAGGAACCTATAACCGAATCCCTATGACCTAAAAACAAGAACGGCTTATACTTAACACCACCACAACTCAGTTTCTTCAAGCACAAAATTCTCGCGGTTAAGTCCTTGGACCCGACGATCAAGTAGGTCGAGTCAGGGCTCCAATCGAATGAGCTGATTTTGCTGTGGAAGTCGGCGAAAGTCCGAACCAGCTCGAACGGGAAGAATTCCCGGCGGAACCCCGGGGAGCGCCAGATCTGGACGAGTTTTCCAGCGGCGACGGCGATGAGAGCGCCGTCAGGGCTGAATTTCACGGCGCCGACGTGGTGCTTGAAGGAGATACGGTGGAGGACGACGCGGCGGCGAATGTTGACGAAGAGGCAGCGGTTGCGGTCATCGACGGTGAGGAGGAAGGTGCCGTCAGGTGAGACGGCGATGCGGGAGACGTTGGAGGAGGATTGGATTGGGAGGGTTGTGGTTTGAGACTTGAGGAGGTCGGTGATGGCGACTCGGTTACCGACGGGTGAGAGTAGCAGGGTGTTGTTGGAGATGACGGCGTTGCCACCTCTGTAGGGAGCTCCGAGAAGGTTCTGGAACCTGAAGTTCATTGTTTTGTTTCAGTGTTAGCTCTCTAGTTACCACGTTACCACCATGGGGTTAGGGTTACTCTGCAACAGGTTACTGTGAGTGGCGGGAACGGAGGTTTATGACTTTAGGGTTTAGGGATTCACATTAAACGCCAACGTTTAGGTCTTTTTATTTTTTATTTTTTGGTACAAGGATTTATTTGTTTAACAATACATGTCAGCGGGGCTGTGAGCGAGGTGGAAAAAAGGGTTCCGAAAAAACTAGTGCCGCCTATAAAGTATAAGGGTTATGCTTTTCTCATGTTACATGAGATAATATTATCTTATGTAGAGACATAATTAGGTGGGTTCCACAACTAAAAAGAAAAGAAAAAAAAAGAGAAATGTTAGCTCAAATTTCGATGAGTGTGTAACATGAGATAAACTTTTTTATGTAACATGAGAAAAATATTTCTCAAAGTATAAACCCTACATTGTGGAAATACGTTTAATTTTTCTCAATTTATAGTAAAATGTAATATTTTTAAAATTAGTACGGTTATTAAATCGGTGAAGCTATTGATATATGGTTAACTATATTAATCGTGCGGTTTATTTATGATTTTGGCTATTTTTATTTCTTAAAGAAAAGGTACTTTTTTACTCAAGGAATAATAAGTTTTTTTTAAAAAAAATAAAATAAAAAATTATGATTTTTTTTATATTCTCGAAAGAGTAATTTCTTAAAAAAAATGTTATATCATAAAAGTATTTTTTTAAAAAAGATTTATCCAAAAACACCGTTTATCTGAGTTCAGAAGTAATTTTTAGTAATATGATTGTAGTTTTAAATTGTTAATAGCATGTCAGTTGACAGTGACACTTATCAAAAAACTCTTGGAGAATGTAGTGATTTTTCTAATATGCTCCGAGCCCTCAACATTATTCCATGGTCCTTTATTTAAAAAGAAAATTTTTCTTTCATTTATATCTTTTTCTTTTTTTAAAATTTCATCTCAATCCAATTTTTTTTTCTACTTTTAGCATGGGAGTTTCTGCTCCCGATCATATTAAACGGGTTCAGAATGTAGGCGTGAGCTGTTTGAAGTTTTGTCTAGGCCAGATTTGGATGATAAGGTATTTCCCTCGAACAATCTTATTGATTTATTTAGGTTCAACAAGTAATGGTTTAGATTTCAACTTTTTATGTATATTCCCAGATTATTGTATGCAGGTACATTACGATATGCATAATAACGGTTATGTTTTTTGAAATTATTTATTTATTTTACTTAATAGGAATTTTTGGAATAAAAAAAAATTGATAACATAACTTTTTCATTTCCAAAAAAAAATATGAATTTAATAAATAATATTTTTAATAAATCATGCATATTTAATATTGTTAACACATAGAGATATTTATTAACGGATCCAAACCGGTTATTTAAATTGCAGTGATCAAACCAATAAATCGAAAATCGAACATCGAAAAAAAAATCATATACTTTAATTGGATTAGATCGATTTTGGGTTTGGTTGGTGAAAATCGATCAAATCCAAACCGATGTAATGTATTATATATTTATTATTTTTAAAATTTCGCTAATGTCTTTTTCTCTAATTCCACAACCTTTACTGTTTCTGATATAATCCAAAGAGTGAGCATTGAGCAAGCTCAAAGAGCGAAGCATGGAAGGGAAAGATAATGACTTAGAATCTTGTTGTTTTATAGACTTGAAATCTTGTATGTTATTATTAGCAAACTACCTTGTTTTAATTTTTTATTGTATATTACTCTATTTTAACTTTTCATAAATTTTAAGACTTGCTTTAGTTTGAAAACTTAGAATTTTCAAATGGTTTATAACATTATATGAGTTCATTTTGATATAGCTAGTGATTTGTATGGCTGAAATTTTAAACTTTTCGAAAAATTAAACATTGATCCAATCCATACCAAATAAAATTGGATGAGATTGGATCCGATCTGCAAAAAAACAAAAACAAATTGAATGAATGATTAAATGATCAAAGCGAAGGGAATGGATCAGATGATTTTTGCTTTAAAATCGATCCAATCCAGACCGCGAGCATCACTAACACATTCAACCACATATATATTTAAAGAATAATAAGTTACAAAAAAAGTTATTTCTTATTTTTACTATTCCTCAATTACAGTTTGTCTTATCAAACAGAAAAACAAGCATAACATAGTAACCCTTAATACATAATAAATTGGAGACTCATCAAATAATTTCCAGATTTAGACATTGTTGTCATTAGCAATAAGCTAGAATAAACACTATGAAGCAAGAACTTAACCTTGTGAGAAGAGACACATAAAATTCAAGCATAACATTGCATCAAAACAAACAATTTATAGCAGAAGCTCATGAGAGTACTATGCTAAGCATGAATGATTTTCAGTGTTGAGAATTTCAAATAAGACTTTTCAGTTTCAAAAAGGAAATTAGAATCTAACTTGAATACCCCTCACTAAGATAAATAATACACTCATCACTCAAGTGTTTGGGTATAATCGCTCAATCCATCAGTGTAATAGCACTACCATAGGCTTGATCTTATTCTCAAGTTTCTAAAGATGAGAAACATAAATAACATGCAAAAATTGATCAAAAGGTCTTTTTAGGGTTGTAATGTGGCTTGGTTTAGGGGTAGGAGTATTTGGAAAGTAGCTAATTTTATTGTTTGAGATTGAAACATATTTAATTCAATTCAAGGTTCAGTCAACTATCAAACAATATTTCACTACTTCTTCTTTTAATTCAAGATTTTTATTCCTTTTTCCACCACCTTTGAACGATTGTTATGTTTGCTTGGTGTTTAATGTTTTTTGTAGTTGTTTTAGGTACTCTTTATGATTATTGCATATGTGATAACTGAGTATAGGCCTGATCAACTCATTTCTTTGTGTAATATGTGTAGTGTCATGACAAAGAATCGGAACAACCTTGAGGCATCGAATGCCAATGCTCAGCCAGATCCTGTTTTGGCTGCTATAGTTAGACCTCTAAGTGGTCGCGAGGCAAAAAGTGTACAGCCTGATCCCGTGGCGGCCACTCTGGCAGTCGTGCAAAGGCAGTTGACTGTTAGTCGCCAAGCTAATGAGACCCTAATGAAGACGAATGAGGATGCGCGGAATGCCATGACCGCGATGATTAATGAGTTGAGGACACTGAAGGGTGCTAGAAATGAGAACAGACCAGCACTCCTCCTCTTCACACTGCCACTCCTACTCCATATACTTTCCATGAAGAGGGTGGAGCGCGTAACAATAATGGTGAGGCTAGTCACCATTATGGTGGTCATAGTCATCACATTGTGGTTCGTCAACCACATGTGGAACATGTTGATGAACATAAAACTGAAGAAAGGCGATTAGTGGCCTTCAGAAAACACAAACCTCCATCCTTTACTGGAGGTTACGACCTGTTGGTTGTTGTAAAATGACTCCAAGTTATGGAGAAGATTTTTAGGGTGATGAGATACCTTGATGCACTGAAGTTGGTTTACTAGGTGTACATACTTGAAGGCGAGGCCGAGGATTGATGGACGAACACCATGCAACCATTGGAGGCTGAGGTCCAGGAGATCACATGGCGATTGTTTGAAACTTTGTTTTTGAACAATTACTTCCCTAGGGAGGTTAGGGAAAGGAAGTATAATGACTACAATGACTTGAAGCAAGGGTCGATCACAATGGACCAATATTTCGCCAAGTTCAATGAATTGGTGAAGTATGCTAACTATGGGAGAGCCTTACCTAATCCGGCCGAGATGACCTCCAAATTTCAATGGGGTCTGAATGAGAAGATGTCTCGAAAAATGTCCAACTGTGATATTATAGACCTCAACAAGTTTGTAAATCAATGTAGGAAGGTGGAAAAAGTGTATAGTGTTCCTAAGATCAAGAAGTCTTATGAGGCACAAGCGTTTGGTGCTAGTGGAGCAACTGACTCTACTTCAGAAAAGAATAAGAAAAAGGATGACAAGAATGAAAAGAAGAAATTACAAGCGAGACAATCAGATGAAAAGTTTAAGGGAAGCGGGAGTCGATAGAGCTGGGACAATGATAAACCTCATGTGCCTAAGTGTGACAATTGTGGCAGGCATCACAAGGGTGATTTTTTGATGGGCCAGAACGTATGTTTCAAGTGTGGTAGACCTGGTCACTATGCGAGGGATTGTCCCCAAATCATGGGACAGGTTGTTCTTATGCAAATGGTCTCTGATCTTCCGACAACGACACATGTTAGTACTTCGACCCAACCCCAGCTAGAGAGGTTCCCATACTTGACGGAAGGGATGACGCATGTAGATTAATTTGACATGCAAAGTTTATTGAGGTTGGAGCCACACATGCTTAGACTGTGGACTTAATTATGATTAGGGTCATGCAAAAAAATTGGTTCAATTTCCTTGCTCTTGATCTAACCTTGATCTGACCCATAAATACCATTTTTTTGAACTAGATTTAAATATCGACCCACTTATATTTGGGCAATTTTAGACTTGAATTGTTTTAATAATTAAGCCATTAACCCAAACTTTGATCCAGACCCGTTTTGTGAAAAAAATCAAAGGCAATTTGGGGCTTAGGTTTTCTCTTCTATGAATCTCTCTGTCATTCACTTTGGAGGAATATCAGTAACGTCATGTGATTTAACTTTACAGTGTCCATGTCTATTTTTTTAGAGGTCAATTGTGAGTTAGCCTGCACATAGCTCTCTCATATCTCAAAACAAAGAAACTAGAATCAACAACATAAATGATGCTTTCAAAAATCACAAATATCCAACTCTCTTTGTTTAAAGCATTTCTTTCTTCGCAATTTGGGAAGAAAACAAAGATTTTCCTTTTCTTCTCCATAAGGCAGAACGAAAAGTTATTTTAAAATATTTTAGGTTTCTTATGAGTGGTGAGAACCATGGGGTAGATATTTTAAATTACATTCCTTTATTTATTCAACAAATATAAAAAAATAAAATCAAAAATAAGTTTTGAAACCAAGTCAAAAGCAGGTCATGTCGGATTTAACCCAATTTTGAAACTAAGTCAGACCCACTTCAGAAACCAAGTCAGGTCAGATCTGACCCAGTTCAGTACTAGTTCAAAAAAATTTAAATCGGGTCTGACCTGACTTGGATCAAATTAAACCGGGACATGTCAAAATACCTGACCTACAAAATCAAGTCGGGTTGGGTTGACACAAATACCTGACCCAACCTGCCCCAAGCACAACCCTAATTATGATTGTGTGATTAGTTATGTTTAGTACTCAAAGACTAGACTATGGATAGATTGATAAAAGATTGTAAGTTGTATGCAATGACTTTTCCATGGATGTGGTAGTATTACCTCCATGAGGATAGTATCCCATGAGATAGAGAATTCTCATGAAAGGTCCAGATTGAGGGGAACTTCCCTTGGAGTTAGCTTTTGGGACCTCTTTGTGGACAAAGATACCTAAGAGAAACAACTCATAGCGGATCTCTTTTGGAAGTTCCATCAAATGAGATTTTAAGTAAAGGTTATTTAAAGGACTATAGAAGGGCAGGGTTAAATATCATGTGAATAGGTATGACCCTTGAGGAAATTGAAAGATAAAAGTGATTGAATGTGTTAGTATCACCTAATTATAAAACATAGATTGAATCATGAGTAAAAAATTTCATCTTATGATAAGATGATGAAGAAAAGAGGAAGTAATGAACAGGGTAACTTCGGGAACACAAGAAGCATTCTCCGACAAATCCATAGTTGATTGAATGAGTGATTTTGTCAATTTTGAAGACAAAATAGCTAAAAAGGTGGGGTGAATATAAAACCCTTAACTTAAGAATTTAATTAATTATCTATAATTAAATAATTAAGCATGTATAAGTGGGTAGAATTAAGCAAGAGGTTAAAATTAATGAGTTAAGGGAACTTTTAAAGTAAAAAGTGCAGTCAGTGAGAATTAAAGGGTAAAAATATGGGTAGATAAAAGTACTTAAAATATAAAAGTTAAAAATATTACTAGAAAAATATCATATACCATTTGGTTAACTTTGGTGGTGAATGAAGGTGAATAGATAGATAAGTTTTTATCCGGTTGAAATTACTCAACCTAAGTTAAGTGTAAACAAAAGAACCCTCCCATTTTCCTTCTTCTTCGTCGACGTAGCCAAGGGAGAGAAAAGAGAGGGAGAAGCCATTGAAGGGAGCTCAAACCCTAGCTCATTCATTCCTCCACCAAATTGATCCGTTCCAAAGCGAAAAACAAAGAGAATCCTTCCCTCATTGCAAATTCTAGCTTGGTTTTGAGTGGGAAGACTAGTGGAGAGAGATCTCTCCCTCCAAAGATTTCAACCCCTTTGAAGATTTGAGTAGTTTGAGGGCATTTTCATCCATGGGAGCTTAGGAAACCTCTATTCCTTGGTTGTGTGACCTATTGTGGTAAGTTTTCACTTCTTCAACCTAGTTTTCATGGAGTTTTCTAGAGGTTGAAGACAATGAATAGTGTTTTGTGGGTTTTATGAGTTTGAGTAAGATTGAGGCTAAATTCCTTTGGAAATGATGTTAGGAATGATAAATAAACGATAGAAATGAGTTTAGACTGTCATTTTAGTGTACTTTGTTATTTGAGAAAATTATGCTTGAAATTAAGGATTTTCTTGAATGGTAAGCCATTGTTTGATTATAGGTTGATTGTTTCCTTGTATTGATAGGATTGAGGCAAGAGAACCAAGTGGAGTGACCAACCCTTATAGTTGTTTTCAATTGAGGAAAGGAAAGTTTTGAGGAAGGTTCAAGTGCAAGGTAAATCTTTGGACCTTGGGGTTGATCCTCTTGAATGTTCCACCATACTCCGTTGAGGAGAAATGGTTTATGAGGTGTGATATGTAATGATGATAGTAATTATATGCTAATGCATTGATTTATGCATAGATAAATGTTATGATTGATTCATGATGTTTGATTGTTTAAGAGTAATTGAGGAATGATTGATAGATGTAAAATATTGATTGAGGAATGATTGATAGATTATGATGAGGATGATTAGTAGGAACTTCCCTTGGAAACAGCCCAATGTGGATCTCCATGTGGTCAGAGCGTAAGAGAAACAACCCTATGTGGATCTCTCTTGGAGGTTCCTAGGTTGAGGTTAGGGACTTCCCTTGGAAACAACCCTATGTGGATCTCCATGTGGTAAGAGCCTAAGAGAAACAACCCTTTATGGATCTCTCTTGGAAGTCCATGTGATGTTTATGGATAAGAATTTGTTAAGAGGGTATTATTGTGTGTTCATCGAAAGTGAACCTTAGGGTGGAGTGATCTCCAAGGATCCCACGTTTACTGTGATATATTCGTATATCTCACCCGTGTTATGGGGCAACATTTCAGGTACTGATAGAGGTGAGGTTGATCGAGGCAAGAAGCATGAGTAGGTTGTACCTGATAGCAAGACATTTTAAGTTGCATGCCATTTATAATTGTTATATGTAATTATTGAGGCCACATTATGTATTATGGAGGACTTAGTACATGATCATTGTTATAGTAATTGCATTGTTATATATGGCTAATAGCTTTGATCATGTCTTTTGATAGCTAAGTTCTTTGACATATATTTATTTTGAAGAACATGGATGTAATAGGAAAATTGATATATTAATGGAATGTGATGTTATGTCTTGTCATTTTGATTTGCACAATAAAATGGTGTAGAAGATGTAATTATTGAAACATTGATGTTGTAAGATTGTTAATTAGGTTATATGGTGTGTGGGATTTAATTCCCCAAGAGAAATACATGAAAATAGAGATTTAGTGTTTTGCCCATGTGGAGGGGGCTTAAGCCTAAAAAATGGAGGCTTAAGCTCGCTCCGGGGGCTTACGCGCCTAAATAGGGGGCTTAAGCGCCCTAGCGCACCTGTGCGTGGAGAAACTCTCTGTCGCAGGGGCTTAAGCGCCCTGGAGAGCGCTTAAGCACTCTTGGTGGCCTAAAAATACCAATTCCCTCTGCCTATGCGCGATTAAGTACTTTACCGGGAGAATTTTTTTCCCGAAGAGCGCACTTAAACGCGCAGCCCATTTTCAACACGAACATAGGTTAGTAAAATTAGCATAACTCGAGCTAAAAAGCTTCAAATTCAGTGAGGTTTGAACCTATGTGAAGATAACACATAGATCTATAACCCTGTAATATGTTAAAGCCATTGGATGAGTATATCAATGTTAGTTTGGGATTGAAATTGATGCTCCAATACCAAAAGTTCGATTTTGTCAGCTGCGTTGTGAGTTTAATAACTTTTGCTATTCTTAACCACATGGTTATTGTAATATCTTTCCAGAAATCCCTAGATGTCTAGTTTGTCATAATGAAAAGGTTAAAGTTGTTGGTTAAGTGTAGTGGTCTCAGTTTGAAGAATGTTACATGGTTATAATTACGGTTTTGTTTTAAAAAGTAAATGAATAATATTTCTGTGAAAAATTTTATCCGTAGTTTTAACTAATCAATGTAATTATAACTGTGCTTAATATCATATTTGATGATAATACACCGGTCTGGTAACAGGGTGTTACACCTTATACGCATCCAAGGATTGCACTATTAATTATATTTGAGTCTTCAATTTATATTAAATATGCATTTGCAGTTCAACTTATAAACTATGTAATCCTCATGTAATTCAGAGGCTTTAAGTGCACGCAAGTTTTACCTTGTCAAGTAGTAAGTGGTAAATTGACGGCCAACACTTTGTAATTTGTTAAAGCCCCTAAGATGTAGACCGCTTTCTACACACTTTCTAATTATATGACTCATAAAAGTCCAACTCAATATAATGTTAATAATGCAGTCTAGTCACAAAAGAATGAATCCATTTGGATTTCTAGAGTCCAAGTTACGTACTTTCGAAGATGGTTGTCTATAAGATAGCATAGAACAGGGCAACTTACTTTGGCTTATCCACTTCAATTGCTCTGAAAATTTGTAGACAGGAACTAGAAAGGTAGAGCTTTCAGGAAGCTTTAAAATCACTCAAAACAGAGGTCTTTAGACCATTTTATGAAAT